TTTCCAATATATCTATGTTTCTCAACATATATTTTGAAAACTTTTAGAACTTTAGACAGTTATTTATAGTCACCCAATACTTCATATATTATAAAATTTCTTATTGTATTTTATGTTAATATACAGACATTTGGAAATCCTAACATTAAAATTTGGAAATCTTAACATTTTAAATATTAATACTTTATATTAATAACCTATTTTATTCTATTTTATGTTAATATACAGAACTTTGGAAATCCAGACATTTAAATTTCAAAATCTTGACAATTTAAAAACTAATAATTTATATTAATAATTTTCTTTATTCCATTTTATGTTAATATAGAGAAATTTGGAAATACTAACATTCAAAATTTCGAAATCTAACATTTTAAAACTAATAATTTATATTAATAACCTAATTTATTAGATAATATATATATTTTTAATTAAACTAATTTGGAAACAATGATATTTAAAAAAAAAAAAAAATTAAATTTATTTTATCTTTGTAAGATGATTTTTGTTACTTTTACTATTTTACTATTAGATTATTATTTTATTTTTGTATAAAATATACTTTATATTTAGTATATCTAACCAGACAATAGTGTTTTGTCAAAAAAAAATTATTTTTGATTTTCTATTTTCTTATAACAGTTAACATTTTTAAGTAAGTTTTAATATTTAATTTTTAGTTAAATTATATTTGGAATATTAATTTTGTTTTTAATATAATTTGGAAACATTGACATTTTCTAAAAATGATACTTTACATTTAGTATATCTAAAAAGACAATAATGTTTTGTCAAAAAAAANAATTTCGTTTTTAATATAATTTGGAAACATTGACATTTTCTAAAAATGATACTTTACATTTAGTATATCTAAAAAGACAATATTGTTTTGTTAATATTACGTTTTTATTTTGATTTTCCATTTTTTATAACAATTAACATTTTTAAGTAATTTGTAAAATGTTAATATTTATTTTATTAGCTAAGTTATATATGGAATACTAATTTCGTTTTTAATATAATTTGGAAACAATGACATTTTATAAAAATAATAAACTAATATAATGATGTGTCATTATACGATTGGAGGACTTAAATCCTACGTGGACGTCCTCAATGGCTTATAGCCTCAACTTTTATATAGTATAGATTATATACTATCAAATCCAGCTAGTAAGTATCAATCAGAAACATGAAAAAGGAAAATTAAAGAGAATATATTCCATAAAGTTTTTAGGCATATCGCTTTCGGCAGTATCTATTTAAGATTAAATAGTAATAAATTATCAATTGCAACCAAAAAATTTCAATGATGAAAAGGAGAGGTTTCAAAATAGAACATGAGACAACACCAAAAGCCTAAGGATAAGAGCAGAATGTTTTGCTCTTCACAAGTAAAAGTTTCAGACCACTGGAAAATGACATTAGCTTGGCGAGTACTATTCGGTTTTGCAAAACATCAAGCTTGGTGCTCCGTTCTCAAGGTAAAAACACTCATTCTGTCGATAAAATAGTATTTGAACTCAACACCAATAGATGTGTCTAAATCAATTACTTGATGTTATGATGCCATCAAGACTTTGCCCAATTCATTCCTAAAAATGGGTGTTAAACGACATAAAAAAATTTTAAAATTATATATATAATAATGAAAATAGATTAAAAAAAAGCAAGGAAACATATAAAAATTGTTATTACAAGGTAATAGAACAAGTTATCTTTTATGGATTAGTATAAGCAAAATGTGCATCACACATTGTATTGTTCTGAGTGTTAGTTAGCAACAACACATTTATTCCAAAGAAGAGGTACTTCGTGCCACTTATTGGAGATAAGCCAAAGTTGGTGTCATGAAATAATCCTCCAATACTAGCTTTAAGGCTAGCATAATCATGCATGAATTGGACCTCCATCTATAAAAACAGTGAGAAAGACATTGTAGAAAAATTAGATAGAAAGAAATTGGAATATCAATCTAATTTCTCTTCGAAAGATAAAATTGGCACTAGAAATGAAAATTGAAGAGGTAAACCATAATGTCAAGAACCGATTCCACATGTAATATTTCCAAAAAGTTACAGATAAAAAATATATCAACATTACAAATCATGTACATAATTAATACATTTAGATCTATGAATACATATATATGATCAACAAAATCAAATATTATATAAAATGATATATATGAGACCAATAATTTTCTTATGTGGGTCAAACGAGATCAATAACTTAAATTCATGAACAAAGAATTTGCAACCTCAAATCGGATCAAATTGATCCACTCATTAAGATCCATGAACAAAGACAATTGCAAGTACAATCAGATAAACTTCATTAAATCCTTATAAATCAATGAACAATTTTATTTTTCAAATAGTTGACTGGTTCATATTCAAAGGGATCAGAAAACTATATCACAAATAAATTGAACAAATAACTTATGCTAGAAAATAGGTGAGAAAACTAGTAAAGAGATTTCCAAATATACATTACCAAAAATTTAAATTAAGATCAGAAATGCTCGAGGTTGTGTTAGCCGTTAGTTGGGCGGTTGATGTAAACCTAACGATTTTCAAAATATTACATTCTTATGCATTATATTCGAAATTAACCTTATACAAAAATGGTGAGTAGTTTTGATAATTTTTAGCTACACGTCCAAGTTCAAACTACTTGGGCCGAATCGGTTCTGTGAGATAAGAAATAAATGTCAATCCGATTTTCAACTGAACATGACATGCTTAACTTAACAAGAATTTCAGTCAAAAACACCAAAGAAAGTTTTTTCATTATGCGTTTTATTTGAAGAATGAAACTAATTATATATGATTCTTTTTGGAAGACTTCATAAGACTAGTTATGAATAAAAATCATGAAAATTATCTTGGATAAGCAACTTTTCTCTTACAAGCACACCATACATTCAAACAAAAGCACATTATTTACTATGATAATTTATAAGCTTTCAAATTTTATGACGCTTCAGAATTCCTCCAAATATCTTTGAGTTGTCTCAAAATGCTCTCAATATATAATGAGCACTAGGTATATATTTAAGATTATATAGTTTATAGACGAGCTTATCTAAAGAAAAAATAAAATATTTTCCAGGAAAAGCGTAACAAACCCGTCAGCATAAAAATATTCCACTAAGAGATGCATAGTAAATACGACTAGGTCCTATCTTTCACATGCAAATTAACGTTGTTTGAAAAAAATATTCTTTTCCTTGAAGTTTTATGATTATAAATCCTGGTTAATCAGGAGTATAAAATTTTAGATATTAAGGTTGAGTTGAACGAAATTTCAAAAGTTAATCCCCTAAGATACAACCACCATAAGTAAAACGAGAGATTAGTCGGAGGAATTTGAGTAATCCATAGTAATCTTCAGTGAAAGAAATTATTTTTCAATTTTCTCGTGTTTACCCTTAATGGTTTGATTGTGTTTGGGTTTATCGTAAAGAAAAGAAGAACAAAACGAGATTTAACCAACTGGAATGTCAATTTAATTTCTATTCAAAAAATAATAATGGCGCAGCTACAGTAAATTGGGCTTGAGAATGAAAATTGAATCAGAAGGAAGTAAACCATAACATCAAAAACAAATTCCTTATGCAATAAAACCATAAAGCAATAGATAAAAAAATTTAAATCATAACTACAAATCATGATCAGAATTAGTACACTCAGATATATGAATACATCTGATCAACATAATCAAATATTATAGAATATGATATATATATATATATACATATATATATGAGACCAATAACTCAATTTCATTATTTCTGTAGGATCCCTTGAGATTCATCAACAAATAATTTGCAACCTTAAATCGGATCAAATGCATCCATCCATTAAGATCCATGAACAAAGACAATTCAAGCACATTTAGATAAACTTTATAAGATGATTGTAAAATTAATGAATAATTTTCTTTGCAAATAGTTGATCAGTTAATATTCAAATGGATCAGAAAACTATATCCCAAATAAATTGAACATAATACCATATGCTAGTAAATAAGTTAGAAAACTAATAACGAAATTCTCAATATACATTACCCAAATTTTAAATTAAGATCAATTCAAAATTGCGTGAGTCCAGTGGTTGACATAAGCCTAGCAATTTAACAAATATCACATTTTGTGTATTATATTCGAGATTAACCTTATACAAAAATCGCGATTAGTTTTGATGATTTTTTACTACAACCCAAGTTCGATTTACTTGGGTCGAATTTATTCTGATTGTTATCTGACCATGACATGCTTAACTTATCATAACTTTCAAGCAAAAATACCAATTGAAATTCTTTTATTATAGCTTTTATTTTAAGATTTTGACTAATTCTATATGATTCTTCTCTGGGATAATTTATAAGACTAGTTACAAATGTAAATCATTAAAATTATGATGGATATCTAACTTGAAACATAAGCTATTAAGCTTCAATATTTGTTAAAATAAGCAGCTATTTTCTTACAACCAAATCATACGTTTAAGCAAAAGCACATAATTTATTATGATGCTACTCCACAATGACAAGGATCTTCGACCATAACCAATCTTCTCCCTTAAATCGAACCACATCCTTTCCAAACTTACTCTATGTTTAGACAACACTTCTTGAGATCAGAAAACAACTTTACCAACTTAGCAACAAATCACATATTTTCCTTTAGATCTTTACTTTCCCAGAGTGACAAGTGGCTTCCCTCATAACCTAAAAATAAAACATAAAGATGATGGAAGATGAAATAATGCTTAAATGTAACAATAACATGTTGTTCCTGTATGATATAAGTGGATGTACCCGTCGCCAACAACAAGCTTCTAGCTACCAAGAAACTTCAAGATAACAATAAAGCACATAAGATAAATTTCTATCTTAAACAAAGTGAGGAGTCAAAAGTTTATAGAGTAGAACAAATTGTCATACTTAGACAAAAATGCTAAACATGAATTACAAAAACTAAACATAGATCATCAGATGAGGAGGCACTGAAGGCGTTTTCTTGTTAAGAGTTTTAGAAGCTGAGGGCAATACCCAATCCCATCCTAGATATATGGAAATGGCTGAACTCTCCTATTACCCTCAAGAAATACCACTGGCAAATGACATTAACTTGCCCAGTGCTGTTAGCAATCCACGACTTCAACCAAAGGTGTGGATCAAGTCTGTGCTCCACTCCTAATGTAATAACAGACTGGTGGGCTCCAATAGACATATCAGAGCCGATAACTTGATGATATGATGCCATCAACACCTGAACCATTTCATTCCTAACTAGGTAAAAAAAAGAAAAACAATCAACACAACAATATGTAATGAAAGTAATCAAAAAGTGACAGATTTTTCTTACAAATAAATAGAGGAGGTCCTCTTTTCTTCTGTAGTGTAGGAAAAGACAGCATCAAACCTTGTGACACTGAGGTTGTTTGTCTGGAACAACAAATCCAATCCCAATGAAAGATTCTTTGTACCAATCACAGAAGAGACATCAATATTTGTGTCATGAAATATCCCCCAATGCTACCTTTACAGCTAGCATAATCGTGTCTGAATTGAACTTCAATCTGTTAAAAACAATTAAACAAACTCAAATGAATTGCTAGTGTCTGAATTAAACTTCGATATGTGAGTCGAAGCCAAACAAGTCTACAATACTTTTATAAAGAGAATGCAGATGAATCAATATAAACATGCAAAAAAAATTGGCAAGGTAAACAACAGTAAACAAAAAGTTGAATAAAAGCAAGTCTAATGTGTAAGTTTATCAAGTTTGAAATGTGTATTGAGAAACAATACTAAAATGTGAAATCGAGATATGTAAAGAATCTAAATAGACTTGTTTGGTTCCAACTCTGTCTATTTAGATTTTTCATTCAACAAAGGATAAATCAGGTAGTAATCCAAACGCCACTTAATTAAAGTTGGGGTTGAAAGCCAACTACCACAACAAATATAACAAAAAAAAAATTGATAAATGAACGAAATCAACTCTACGAATGATGTACATAATTAGTACAATTAGATCTATGAATACAAATGATCAACAAAATAAAATATTATGTAAAATGATACATATGAGACCAATAACTCAAATTCATTATTTCTTAAGGATCAAATAAATCCACTATTGAGATCCATGAACAAAGAAAATTGCAAGCACAATCAGATCAAATTCATAAGCCCGGTTTAGACTATGATCTGCTTTGTAACCCCGACCAAATCGAATAAAGTAAACTATTGGGCCATAAATAAACCCAACGATAGGCCCATTATATTTTTTTTTGAATCAAAATTGAGCTTTAGGTAAATGTTTCTCTGTCTCACTACTTCCGCGTTCCCTCCTCTTCTTCTGCAACACCGGAAAAGACTATCTCCGACGGAGCTTCCTCTCTAGGGTTTGTATCTTTGATTCTCTTATTGGTTTCGTTTCAGCTGATCTGATGAAGTTTTATTGAGGAGCATTACTTATGTGATTTCGCGTCCTGATTCAAACTTTTTTTCTACAGTTATTCCGACGACCTCGGCTCGTGCTAATGGCTACCTTTGGTGCCGCGGCGAACGCGAACACGAACCCAAATAAATCATATGAGGTATGGCGCTTCATTATTCTGTTTGATTTGCTTGCATATAGTAGAGTATTTAGGGTTTTTACGGCTTTAGATTCCAAGGGATTAGTTGGAAATCTTTGCTCATTGCTGCGAAAATCTTTGTTAGTCTCTTGTTTTGTAGCTTTAACCTTTTATCCTACTAAAAGGAATCAATCGTTTTGAGACTTGTGGATGTCGACGTTAGCTTATCTATTAAAGCTCTCTCGTCTTTTTTTAATATCTCAGTTCAAATTTCACACAAAAGGTTTCCCTCTTGTCCTCCAGGTTACTCCATCACCCGCAGATTCTATCTCCAGCTTAAGTTTTAGTCCGAGAGCCGATATTCTTGTCGCTACTTCATGGGACAATCAGGTTTTTTACTCTTGCCTCCTTTGTTTTTTTTTTCATTGCTTACTTGTTGGTCCCCCAATACTGTGTTTTCTTATTTATCTTGTTTCTCTCATATTCGTGTATTGTTGTAATATTTGAGTTTGCTTCTTGTTATTGCAGGTGAGGTGTTGGGAAATATCTCGTAGTGGAACCTCTCTAGCCAGTGCTCCTAAAGCATCAATCTCGCATGATCAGCCGGTAGTATTTTGTTGCTTTCTATCTTCCTTTTTCAATCTTGCTTTCGCTTTTTGCTTAGGATCTAATGATTTTATTGTGCTGAAGGTCTTGTGTTCTGCTTGGAAAGATGATGGAACCACAGTCTTTAGTGGAGGATGTGATAAGCAAGCCAAAATGTGGCCCTTGTTGTCTGGTGGTCAACCTGTTACTGTTGCTATGCACGATGCTCCTATTGTTGACATGGCCTGGATCCCCGGAATGAATCTCCTTGTTACTGGAAGCTGGGATAAAACATTGAAGTAAGAATGGCTCTTCATTATGTTCTATCAAGCAAATGATAGAATCGCTTGACTGATAAAACTAATTTATGCGCGTAAGGTTTAGTTAACAATGTGTATTGGTTTTCCTTCCAGATATTGGGATACAAGGCAACAAACTCCCGTGCATACACAACAGCTTCCAGATAAATGCTATTCATTGTCTGTGAAACATCCTCTGTTGGTTGTCGGAACTGCAGATAGGAATCTGATTGTCTTCAACTTGCAAAATCCTCAGGTACGGGTTTTCCTTCTTTTCTATTTTATGATTTGTGTAAGATCTCTTAGTGCTAACAATGCGGAGTTACTATGTCTCTTGTGTAATGAACTTTTTATTAATTTACCAAATCTGCAGACCGAGTTCAAGAGAATCGTGTCACCACTGAAGTACCAGACGAGGTGTGTTACTGCCTTCCCTGATCAGCAAGGGTTTTTGGTATGTCTTCTTACGCGCTTTTATTTCTACCTTTGTTGTCCTTTTCAAGCTTGAGAAGTTTTTGTTGGTTACAAATAAAGTTGAATACTGTTGGAAGCTGTTTTATCAGCCACACCTTGTCTTGATACACAGAAAATGTTTCAATATGTAACCACATCCGATTCTCTCTGTATCTATAGGTTGGTTCAATTGAGGGGCGGGTTGGTGTCCATCACCTGGATGATTCTCAACAGAACAAAAACTTCACATTCAAATGCCACAGAGATGGGAATGAGATCTATTCTGTCAACGCTCTGAACTTCCACCCGGTAAGCTCTCATTTATGGATATATATGTAGTCTTAAGCATGAAACTAGTAGATGGAACAAATGGTGATTTGGTTGAGTTGTGTAAAATTGGTAAGGTCCATGGCACTTTTGCCACTGCTGGCTCAGATGGCGCCTTCAATTTCTGGGACAAGGATAGTAAGCAAAGACTCAAGGCTATGTCAAGGTGCAGTCAGCCAATTACTTGCAGTTCGTATAATCACGATGGGTCGTTATATGCATATGCGGTAGGTTACATATTCTTCTGTTTCTTTTTTTAATTTCAACACAAAGAAGTTTGAAAAGTAAAAGGATGTTATTGATTATTATTGTAGTCGTGCTATGACTGGAACAAAGGTGCAGAGAATCACAACCCGGCAACGGCGAAAAGCAGCATTTTCTTGCACATGCCACAGGTGTGTGTAGTGTTTTACTCACACCCATAGTAGTATTTATCAGTCATGTTGTTCGAGACAGTATTGTTAGTAGTGTTGATTTTATTAATCGATGAGGGCATTTGTTTATGCAGGAAAGCGAGGTTAAGGCGAAGCCAAGAGTAGCAAGCGGCAGAAAATGAGAGATTTGCTTATTCCTTTGAGTGGATGATTCCCTTAGCTTTGGTTTTGGACGGTTTAGTATATTAGACAGTCTGTCTCTCTTTCTTTCCCCTCAGTTTGGAAATATTTTTTTTGTCCAAGTACTATCTAAAACATATAATGATTTTTCTACACAACGCCTCTTCAAATAATCCTTTTATCCTATGATTGATAAATTAATAGTATATATATAGTACATTGTCTACAGACTTCCCCAACTCCCTGTTCAGGCCTTTATTAGGAATGATACCAAGGAGTGGGATATTAACCTACTACGGGAATTCTTTCAGCCAGATGATATCCCGTTGATACTTGAGATTAAACCCTCATGTTCCTCTGGTCTGGATGGATATGTTTGGAATCACACAAAGACAGGAGTCTATTCAGTTAAAACCGGATATAATCTACTTCAATTGAGCAAGACGAACCCTACACAGGAAATGGTTCTCGAACCAAGTGTCAAAGGTCTCCAGAGTCATGTATGGAAGCTAAAGGCTCCAAGCAAGATGAAGCACTTTTTGTGGCAAGCTATTTCAGGCTGTGTGGCGACAGCAGAGAGGCTAACTTATAGACACCTGGGCACCGATAGGAGTTGTCCTAGATGTGCTGGCCCAGTGGAGTCAATTAACCATCTCCTTTTTGAGTGCCCCCCTGCCATGCAGGTTTGGGCTTTATCGGACTATCCGTCCATTCCGGGTGACTTCCCGAGTATATCTATTTACCAAAACATGAACTTTCTGTTTTGGAAGCGAAAAGAAGTGGCTCCTCGGAGACCACAATTCGACATCTTCCCATGGATCTGTTGGTATATTTGGAAGGCAAGGAACGACAAACTCTTTAATGGGAAAGACGTATCTCCAATGGACACTCTTCAACATGCGTCTCTTGAGGCAGAATGTTGGAGGAAGGCAAACGAGAAGGAGGAAGTAAATGAGGATCATGAGATACCTCCTAGTTCAGAGCTCCCTAGGATCCCCCAAACCCCTACATGCCAAATTGATGCATCATGGATCGATAATGGTAGTGTCAGTGGCTTAGGGTGGAGTCTCAAGGATCAAATGGGTTCTGAATGGTTCGGATTACGGGCGTGTAGAAGGAGCCTATCAGCTCTGCATGCCGAGATGGAAGGCCTTTTGTGGGCAATCTCCTGTATGAGAGATTTGAGGATACTTTCGATACGGATTGAGACGGACTGTTCAGATCTAGTGGATATGTCTAGTAGACCGGAGGACTGGCCGGCTTTCGCTACAGAGATCGAGGAGTTTCAGCGACTACGGGAGAACTTCGAGGATGTGAGTATGTCTCATATTCCACGGAGTAGAAATGGACGAGCGGATGCACTAGCTAAAGAAGCAAGGAATAGAGGCTATTCGTTTTCCCATATAGATCAGACCCGACCAGACGGAGTTTCTTTTCGGAGAATCGACTCGACTGGTCACCACTTGATCTAGAGTAAATGGGCGGCTGACAAAAAAAAAAAAAAAAAAATATAGTAAATCGTATCGATTAGAGAAATATTATAGGCATTTTGTTTCGAAAGTAGAAAGACATTTTTGTAGTTAAAAAAAAACTTTTATCCTAAAACGGAGAGTATCATCATCAATCATGGAAGTATCTAATAATGATAAAAATTATAGTTCAATTGCTTTGTTGTTCACTGTGAGCAAAAGAGAGACAGAGAAAAAGACAGGTGGGAGTTGATTAGCGGAAACAGGAGATGAAAGCGGGGGT